GTCATCAGAATAACCACTGTGCTTATCGCAACCGGAATCACGACTCTTCTAGTAGATGTTCGTCGCCACACTCTGCCGCCACCGCGACACTACCGTTCTTTCTCGCCGTCGACTGAGCACATCCTTGCTCGTCTGCCGTCGCCGGAATAGCGACTCTCGTTGTTCGTCGCCACATTGTCGCCACCGCGTCACCACCGTTCTTCTTGCTCGCCGTCAATTGAGCACATCCTTGCTCGTCCCCAGTGGGTTAGTCATAGCTTGCTGCCGCCCGACGTTCCGTCTGTCCTCGCTCGCCGTCCCGTCCAGTCCCTTGTGCACCTCTGTTTGGGACATCATAACATATATATACACACACACACACACACACACACACACACACACACACATGTATATATTTTAAAATATGAAAGGGCATGTTTGGTTTTTAATTTAATTATATTCAGGTTTAGGTTATTCCAATTTTATACAATTTCAGGTTTATATTATCCTTCTGCCAAACAAACCCCATTTTATACAAATTTGGACAAAATGGTCATTTTACATGGCCGATATTATAATCATTAATTTATTCAACTAAAGTGAGGGTATTATCGTCATTTTACACCACCAGGGACCCAATCGCACTAAATTGATAGTATATGGGGTTTTTTTTACTACACAGGGACTGATATGCACTATATCGATAGTAGAGGGGGGGTTTTTTTCACTTAACCCTTTATTTTAAGTTGATGTTTGGTAGCACGGTGTCTTGAATTTGAGATTACAAAAAGTTTAGTTTAAAATTTGTACTAAATGTTCTACAATTCTAAATCCGCATATAGCATAAATAAAATTCACGATAGATATTAAAATCTAATTAATTTTTTTAGGAGTGACATTCATTTACATAAAATTATTAATAAAAATAATATTCTAGTACTAAGTGGTACTAAAAGCTTATTTGAGTAGAGTTTGTTTAAACCGTAAAACAAACTCATCCAAATCGTGTTTCTTTTGTTGCTGGAACTTGGAATGGAATAATGATGATCCTTTTAATAGTGAGGGGCTGCAAGTTGGGCTGGCCCAACCCAGCCCAGCCCCAATCTAACTTTAACCTAAATTGGGTTGGGTTGAGCCAGCTCGAATTGTACCCAATATGGGTTGTGGTCATAACCCGAACCGAATATTTTTGAGTTATATATATATATATATATATATCGAAAATTTATATATATTATAGGAATAATTTTACTTACCTCCTCTGAGGTTAGGTGTAATTACAGGCGGTACCTTTACGTTTCAAATATTGCACCGCCCTCCCTCAAGGTTTGCTTGGTCGTAACACTTAGCCCCCTCCGATGAAAGTCAACACCCGTCAATGATGATTTTTTATGACATCAGCTATTTTTAACCCTATAATACCACATTCGCCCTTACTATATTTGCAAAGACATTTTTACCGTTACTTTTGTATTAAAATAACCTATATACCCAGGAAAAAAAAAAAAAAAAACAAACAAACAGACAAATACTGTGTAGTATCAGTATATATATACTTATTTAGATATATATATATATATATATATATGAGAAATGATACATTTGTCGACCTAATCCTCCGATTTATCCTCCGAATCCTAGATGGCCAGGCTACGTCAGACAAAAAAAATCGCAGCTCTTTCTCTCTCCACGATTCCCCTCTCAAGCTCTCATCTCAAGCCAAGTGGGATACTTCGTCGGTGACACAAAAAAATCACAGTTCTTTCTCTTTCCACAATTTTCCTCTTAAGCAGCAAGATGGTTCGGCTGCCGGCGAGACAGATCCGGCTTTGGCAACTGCGGCTTGTGCTCGCCGAGGTGGAGATGGTCTGGCTGTGACGGTCTCGAACTCGGAAGAACTAAGTCGAAGAGTGCGTGAGATCGGTGAGAGCTCTTCGCCGAAAAAACCAGTTTAGGGCTAATCGTCAGCGAGTGGGTCAGTTTCTAAGGGTAAACCACCACGCTCGAAGAGGGGTGGCTCGGCCGTGGAGCGGCGAGCTTACAGTGGCTCATATGGACAGCTTGGATGGTGGTGAGGATGGGCTCGCGGTGGGCAACGGGCTGGTTCGACCGGGCGACGGCAGCGAATAGCCCGGCAGTGGCGATGGCACTAAGCAAACGATGGAGGAACTCAATCGGGCCATCATCAGTCTCCATCGACTTCTTCTAGAAGGAGCTTCGATCTGGCGACGGCTAGGCTCGTGAAGTTGATGACAAAGGAAAAGGAAATCACTTGGGACCGACGTTGTGGTCTTAGGGTTTAAAGCTTTGGATCAGGCAAAACTGGTCGGATTTGTTATGCGGTGTCGTCGTCGGGAACGATTATTTGATGCGGCGAAGTTTCCGGCGGCGCCTCCAAGCAACTCGAAGATGAGATTCTTGGTTGGATGATGATTGAAATTTGATCTCTTTCTCATGCTCTATCTCCCTGTACTGGTGGAGAAAGCCAGCGATGGTAGAAACAGAGGGGGAATCGTGGAGAGGGAATGACAGAGAGAGAGAGAGCAGTGTTTTTTTGTTGCTGACTTGGCCTTGACACCTAGGATTCGGAGGATAACTCGGAGGATTAAGTCAGCAGATGTAACCATACTCTATATATATATACACATCCCCAATTTTTGGACAAAAAAACCTCTATTACAACTTGCCACATCATTAAAACTGTGGACGTGAATGTAATTTCAACACCTTGTGACCTAATTTTCTCTCTTTCTATGTACCGTACTGCCCAACCTCGCCACTTTCACCTCTTATCCTCCGCCTCTTTCACCTCTTCCTCCTCGTTCGACGACGTTTATGCCGACAAGCCTTCGTCACCGTTGCCACCACCCGCTCTTGATCGACCTCAGATCCCTATATCATGGCCTTCAAATGGCAATCTAACTCTAGATTGGGTTATGGACCTCATCGCAGCCTTTGATTGGTCCTTTAAGAATTTGGCTCCGCAGGATTTGCCTTCGATGTTGCCGATACAGGATTCGGTAATGGACCTCATCGCAGTCGATGTTGTTGAGGAAGAAGCACATGATCACTAGTCCTGACAGCCTCATTGGAACTTGCTACGGCATTGCCTTCTAGTACCTTTCCTGGTTTAACCTCTGTAAGATTCTGGCCGTCGCGATGCCATCTCCATTCACTCCATCAATCACCCGCATCACCAACTTTGGATCTGTCAGCAACACCTAACGCGACGCCATCTCCGTTTGCTCCCCTACCGCTAGATTACTAATTGCGAATTGCCAGCGGATGACATCCGTCGTGACCAGTTCCGAATGTGGAGGAATGGATCGGCGACTATGGGGCTCCATCGATTCTGGCTTTTGGCGACGATTTGCCCTATGATCGATGCCTATAATTGATGGGTTTGTGAGAAACTTTGAAGAAAAGGGTCAGTGAGAGATTAAAGAAGATAATAAGGGGCAATTTGGTAATCAAAACAAATTCCAAACATTAACTTTAACCTATAACCCCATTTTTTTGGATATTAATAAAATATTAGAGGGTGTTTTAGTCATTTAACATGGTTAATAGTCGGAATAAAATGCCGATCAGTTTGGAGGGAGATCAGTGTAATTTTTGAAACGTAAAGAGTACCGCCTGTAATTACGCCTAATCTCAGGGGAGGTAACAGAAATTTTCCTTATATTATATATTATATATGTGCGTATATTATATATATTTGATTATATTATTATTAAAAATATATATATTTTTAGGGCAAATCATTTCAGCTTCCCCAATCGTCTCCATCTCTATTCTCGTTCTCAACTCTGAAATTTTGCCCCCCTTTCTATTTCTCTCTCTGTGCAACTGTAAACTACAAAATCAACAAGAATAAGAATTTCAAAACCCATATATTTAAGTTTATCTATCTGTCTGCAGGAATCAAAAGTTGAAAACCTATTACCTATATAAAAACCCAATATCGGTGTATCATTTTAGATTGTTCAAAAAATTAAAACCCATATCTTTCAGTTTCCATCGCCCGCTGTTCCAGTTCGGGTTCGCCATTCACAAGCTTCAGCCGCTGTCTCTCAACTCTCAAGCTTGCCCCCCTTTCTCTCTCTGCAACTGCTAACTTGTATGTATAGGTTTAGGGATGGCAATTTGACCCGCCTCCGCGGTTACACGCCCCACCCCGCCCCGTTTTAGACGGTTTTGGGGGATTGTTTTGCTTATTTAGGTGATGATAGTTTGATGCAATAAAAACCCGTGCGGGTTTGGTATGGGGCGGGGGGAGGTCGCCCTGCACCGCCCTGCCCCGTTTAGATAGGCAAATTACTTAAGTACCTTTATTTCATTAATATATATATTTTTCACTATATATTAATTACCCTATATAACAATATTAAAGTAGCAAATGAATTTTATTAAAAGAAAAGTTGCAATGGTGAAGAATTGAAGATAAGAGAAAAAAAAAAGAGCAAATCCATTTCAACAATAATTAAATTATGGTTTTAAACGGGACGGGGCGGGTAACCGCGGGGGTAAAAATGTTAAACGGTTACGGGGATGGAGTGGAAAGTTTTCTCGTTTTTGCGGTTTTGGGTAGAGATGGGGGCGAGATTTTTAAATGGTTGCGGGGGCGAGGGAGGTACACTCGCCCGAACCCGCCCCCGTTGCCATCCCTATATGAGTTTTGTGTTAATTTTTGGAATTGATGGTAATGGTGGAGGGACGGCGGCTGCGATCGATCAGCGCTAAGGGCGAGGGACGGCGACGGCAACGGTGGCAGAGGGACGGCAGTAAAGAGAGAAAGAGAAAGATTTTTATTTTGGGTTTTGGATTGGGTTCGGGATGAACCCGAGCCTAATTCGAATATGTCTGAATTTTGACAAAACTCAATTCGAATATGAACTCGATTTGTGAATTTTAAATCCCAATCTTAAAATTTTGGGTTGGAATTAGGTTAGGTTGGGTTAGCCAAGTTACACCGTAATATTAGTGACGTCCCCTACTTCAGATGCTAGCGGGTACATGATTCCATATGCCACCGCACCACACTGGATTGAGGGCTTACCTCCCTCTTTTCGTATTCGCTGAAACTACTGAACCCTTTGCCTCATCTTTCGATCAGTCAAATGAAATGCATGCAGTCGTCCAGCTTCTTTCGCTTTTTGTTTCATCGTCAAAATTGTGGGGTTTTAGTTTCACCTTTCTCGACTAAAACCCCAAACTTGTCACCATTTTCTCCGGTCAAGGCACTGTACGATCAGATTCAAATTGTCTGCGACCCTAGGGCTTCGATTATTCCAGTGCTCGACAAATGGGTAGAACAAGGTCGCAGCGTCGGTAACAAAGAACTCCGGTCACTCATTCACCTCATGAAGGATTTCAACAGATTCAATCATGCTTTAGAGGTTTCTCGTTTCTCTTACTCTCTCACATCTTCTTATATACTATATAATTATTTGTATATGTTTGTGTGCCTGTATACAAAGCTATTTGATTGTGAGTAATGCAATTTTGCTGATTAAGGGAAGAATGATTATGTATAGTCATGGTTTAGCGGTGAACTAGTTAGGCGTGTTTGAGCTTTGTTTTTGTCATAAAGCATTTGTACTGTTTGGTTGTCAATTATGGAGGAAAAACAATGGAGAAAATTTGAAATTTTAGTCTTATGTTTTATTTATTTTTATGCAAAACTTTAAACCATGAAACAATGTTGGGGAAGCTATCTTAGATTTTGCAGTAATATTAGGAATACCTATTTTGTAAAAAGAGAGATGAACAATTAACAACCTTTAAAAGTGAATCAAATATGAGTCAAATTGATTACTTTTTAAGTAGAAAAGTATGTCGATTAACAAACAAAGATTTTAAGGTTATTCTCGGAGAGAGTTTAACATCACAACATAGGCCTCTTGTTATAAAAGGACAACCTAAAAGGGAGAAAGAGAATCATAAACCAAGGACTAGGTGGTGGAATTTAAGAGGGGATAAAATAGAATTATTTTAAAATAGGGTGTTAAAAGAAGCAACATGGAATACAGAAGATGTAACAAACTTACTGTGGAATAAGATTACTACACATATTAAAAGAGTAGCAAAAGAAATCCTAGGGGAATCAAAAGGACCAAGTGCGTTATTTAAAGAAACTTGGTGGTGGAATGAACAACGTCCAAAATGTCGTAAAAACAAAACGGGAATGCTATAAAGTTTGGTGAAAAAACTAAACATAGTGAAACCTTTGAAAAATATAAAAAAGTAAATAAAGAAGTTAAGAAAGTAATAACTTATAAGTGAACCAAAACATGGAGCATATGAGGATTTTTATTCTAAAGTAGGCACAAAAGATGGGGAAAATAATATATATAAATTTCCTATACTAAGGGAGAGAAAAACTAAAGATTTTAGCCATATTAAATGCATTGAGAGTGACACAGGTTTTAGAAAAAGCTGATGAAATTAAAGATTGAAGGAAAAGTTATTTTGAGAAATTGTTATATGAAAACCATATAGAAAGTTTAGGTTTAGAGGACTATAGTAACCTTAGAGATAACATATTTTTCCGTAGGATCAAGGGATGAGAAGTAGAAATGCCTTAAAGAAGAGGAAATCGGGAAGGGCGTTAGGACCCGATGGCATACCTATTAAGGTTTGGAAGTCTTTGGGAGAAGTTGGCTTGTCTTGGTTAACAAATTTGTTTAATAAGATAATAACAAATTTGTTTAAGGTGGCCTTCTTTGCTTGGACATCTGTTTTGGTGAAGGTTTTGACCCAGGATAATTTGAGGAAAAGGAATCAGGTTGTGGTAAACTGTTGTTGCATGTGTCTTCGTGATGAGGAGACGGTGGATCACCTCCTTTTGCATTGCACCATAGCTAGAGATTGTTGGGATTTGATGCTTGGTTTGTTTGAAGTTCTGTGGGTCATGCCCAAATCCTCCAGAGGGTTGATTGAGGCTTGGAGAGGTTGTATAGTGGGGACCCATGTCCAGGATGTTTGGAGGGTTACACCTTTGTGTGCTTGGTGGTGTATTTGGCTCGAGGGGAACAAAAGATCTTTCGAAGGAAAGGAGAATCCTATTTCTATGCTTATTTTCTCTATAATTTCTACTCTTTTTTGTTGGGTTGTAGGGAGATATTATAGATCTTTAGAAGAGATGGTCGATTTTTTGGGCTCCTTGAATATCTAGTGGCCCTATTTGGCCTTGTGCAGATCTCTTGGGATGCGCTCCCCTTTTGAGTGCTTTTATACAATTTTATTTATCAAAAAAGAAAAAAGATAATAACAGCTAAGAGGATTTCCGATGAGTGGCACCAAAGTTTTGCTTGTATATAAAAATAAAAGGGATGTACAAAGTTGTACTAATTACCGTGGTATTAAATAAATGAATCACACTACGAAACTTTGGGAGAAAGTGATTGGAAAATCCCTTAAGACGAGAGACTTGGATTCATGTTGGGAAGGTCAACAATGGAGGCTATTTACTTATTTTGTAGACTAATAGAAAGATATAGAGAGAAGGAGAGAGATCTCCATAGGCTTTTTATTAATTTGGAGAAGTCCTATGATAATGTACTTAGAGATCTAATATGGAGTAAGGAAAAGAAATCAGTCTCTAAGGGATACATTGACACAATAAAAGAAATGTATGATGGTTGTGTGGCTTTAGTTATAATGCATATATGGGAAACAAGTGAATTCCCAATTACTGTAGGCTTACATCAAGCATTATCATTAAGCCCGTACTTTTTTCCCATGAGTTGAAAGGCACATCCAAGATGAGACTTCATAGTGTATGCTATCTGCTGATGATATTGTTTTAGTCATTGAGACTAGAGAAGGAGTTAATGCTAATTTAGAGGTTTAGAGAGAAGTTTTAGAACTAAAAGGGTTTAAGATAAGTAGAAATAAAACTGATTATATAGTGTAACTTTAGTAAATCTAGAAATAAAAAATGAGGATGTAGTGAGGATTTAGAATCAAGAGGTACAAAAAAGTGAATTCAAATCGTCTATAATGAAGGAAAAATTGGAGAGGGCATTAATAATAGAATTAAATGCCGGATGGGTTAAATGGAGGAGTGCATCTACTATATTGTGTGAGAGGGGTATCCCCTTACAATTGAAAGGGAAGTTCTATTGAACAACTATTAGACCAACCATACTTTATGGCATAGAAAGGATGGAATTAAAAATGATCATATTCGGGAGACGGTTAGAGTAGCAACTGTAGCATAAATTAGAGAAACCGGTTAAGATGGTTTGGACTAGTGCAAAGAAAAGTTAACCGTGGATAGAGTTAAGAACACCTTTAAATTCACCAATTAGAAAAAGTATCATAGTCTACATTGAGGGTAATACTAGGGAAAAAGGAAGGTCAAAGTTAACGTGGATAGAGTTAGTAAGGAAGGATATGATAACATACAGATTGACTAAATCTATGGCCTTAAATAGAGCAGAATGGAAACATGGTTTTTGCGTAGATGATCCCAAGTAGTTGGGAAAAGGTTTGGTTGTCGTTGTTTAAACCATGAAATAGGTGGAGTTGTTTTATACTTTTTATTTGTGTGTTATCTCATAGCCTAATGGAGTGAAAGAAGTGTCACTTGTTAAGATAGTGTTTTGTGGTTGGGGATCATAATGAGTGAGCACCTTGCATGTTTAGATAGAGGCAACTTTAAATAGTATGTTGGTTCTAAGTTTGAATCACGATTCACGATTGACATGTTTTGTTGTTTATTTTTCCCTTTTAGGATAGAAATAGAAAAAGAAGAACTAATATTAAAAAGCATACAAGGTATGCATTCTAATGGAAACTTCACTGTTGTCTCAGTCAAGCTCTTTGTCTCAAAGATAGTGAGATCCCCTTGTCTGAATTATTATTATTTTAAATATTAACAAGGATCCATTCTAACCAGGCACCTTTTGGACTCATGGCTACAACATAACCCCCAAACCACAAATATTGATTAATTCAGAACAAAGGACTTGAGACTTCAAGCTAGTAACTTTGAGACACTACCATCTGAGCATCCCTAATAAGTTGTGAAATTTTTTCCAATATGAAACACTTTAATAAATATCAAGTCCCATGCTATATTGGGTTCTTCCTTCTTCGTTCACTATGTGGCACACTCCGTTTACAATATAAGTGGTCGTTTAGGCATTTGGCCGGGCAATAATAATTATATATGTGGCTATTTGCTAAGGTGGTAGGTTGCTCTTCCATATGCGTTGTGTCATCTGGTTGAAAATCACACCAGTATAAAGCCATCTTGCTCACCCCCCACCCAAAAAAAAATAAAAAATAAAGTATGGTTGTTATAATCCAGATCCGGATTGTCGAATCTCTCAAATTGCCAAATCGATCTCGGATTCTTGATTGCATGAAAATTGCTGGATTCACTGGGAAGTGGAATCGCAACAGGTCGGTAGAATCAGAAGTAGGATCGTAGATTCACATAGGATCACATGATCCTACTAAATCGTCTTATTTTGTTCTTCTTCTGAATTTATTTGGGCCTATAACCCATTTTAGGCAAATAAATTTAATAATTTTAAATTTAAAGCCCAACTCTTTAATTGCATTAAAAAATAATAGTAATTAATAAATAAACAAAATTCAGATATCCAACATCAAATGTAGACACAATCCAACTCTAAATATCAAAGGGGTGGTTCAAAAAATTTCCTCTATTTTTCTTTATTCTTCTTAATTGCTCTTTTCTTCTTCTTTTTCAGAACTAGAACAAGAAAGAACTCTGTTTTTTCGCCCATTCTTTGTCCATTTTGAAACAAAAACAAAGAGAGACTTCATTTTTTCCATGTTGTTCTTTATTAGTTTTGTTCTTTTTTTTAATCAGAAAGTAAACTTCTCAACTAAATTGCTCAGACAGTTAGGGAACTTAATTGTACTTTACTGTCTCTGTTTCTCTGTTCCCTTTTTCTATTTGTTTAGGCTTTCCTTTAATTTCTTCTGCGAACCATCTCCCCCCCCCCCCCCCCCCCTCCCTAAATCTGTGAGACTCTGCTTGATTGTTATGCAGATGCTCTTGATTAGGAGGAAATCAAGAAATTGATTTTAAGTGTTTATCGTGTGTCTTAGTATCTTTTAATGTTAATAGATTTTGTTAGAATGTCTCATGTTGGTTGTTTAGCCCTATTCTCTACTTATATCGCAGATATTTGATTTAGAAAGTTAATTTGAGTTATTTTTCTAATAATTTTATAGAATCGTACAATCCATATCCTATGGACCCCCTCATCGATCCTACATAGAATCCCAATCCTAACAACGTTGAAATAAACACACAAGACTGAATCCTTACCCTTCCTGATGTTGACTACAAGTTCCTAACCTCTATTGTCCTTATCTTTTACAGATTTCTAAGTGGATGACTGATCGAAGGTATTTCATATTATCTCCTGCTGATGTTGCAGTGCGATTAGAATTAATATCCACAGTTCACGGAATAGAGCATGCTGAAAATTACTTTAATAATATTTCAAACAGCTTAAAATCGGCAACTGTGTACGGTGCTCTTCTCAGTAGTTATGTGCGACAGAAATCCATTGCAAAAGCAGAAGCCGTCATGCAGAATATGCGAGAGATGGGATTTGCCACAACATCTTTTCCCTACAATTTGTTGATAAACCTATATGCTCAGACTGAAGAACATGATAAGATAGATGCATTGATGCAAGAAATGGAAAATTTAGGAATACCTCATGATATGTTCACATTGAGAAACCGAATGAATGCTTATGTTCGGGCATCCGACATTTCTGGCGTGGAGAAAATCCTGAATCGGATTGAGGAGGATCCCAACTATGTTTTTGATTGGATAGTCTATTCACTTGCAGCAAATGCATATCTGAAAGTTGGGTTAATTGAAAAGACTTTGGCAATGTTAAACAAAATGGAGGGAATAATGATCCCTGTAAAAAGTAAATTGGCTTTCCAGTATCTTCTTTCACTTTATGCAAGCATTGGCAGTAAGAATGAACTTTACAGAGTATGGAATCTATACAAACCATTGAATGAAGTACATGGCACGTCATATTCTGTTATGATCACTTCTCTTGCGAAGCTGGATGACATTGAGGGGGCTGAGAAAATCTTTCAGGAGTGGGAGTCCAGGTGCTCATTTTATGATTTTCGGATATTGAATCGGCTACTTGTTGCATATTGCAAAAAAGGTCTTTTTGATAAGGCAGAATTGGCTGTAAAAAAGGCTATTAAGGGGAGAACACCTTATGCGAGTACTTGGTATATATTAGCTGTTGGGTATTCAGAAGACAAGCAAATGGACAAGGCAGCGGAGAGGTTAAAGAAGGCATTGTTAGTTGGAAGAAAAGGATGGAGGCCAAGGTCCGTCCTTTTGGATGCCAGTCTAGAGTACTTGGAAGGGCAAGGAGATGTAAAAGAAATTGAGGAAATCATAACGTTACTAAAAAACACAGGTGCTTTGACCAGGAATAATTACCACAGTTTGTTGAGGGCTTTTGTCAGAATTGGAAAATCAGTCTCTGATGTTCTTGATCAGATGGAAAGGGATGGTTTTACAGCCAATGAAGAAACTCACAGGATTCTTGAAATGAGGCCAAGCCTTATGTAGTCTCTGATGTTCTTGCTTCAACAATGAATTATAATCTGATACTTTTTGGGTTGTCAATCCTGAATTGAGGTGGAGGCTGGATTGGAGTTTTTTGACTTCCATGGCTGCAGTCCTTGAAAATGGAAGGAACCTTCGGAATGGAGAAGGACAAAATAAAATCATTGATCTGCTGTGTTAGAGAAGGAAGCTTTTAAATTAGCCCTGAAGATCATTGATTTTGTAAATTTAATTATACAATCTTCACTCTGGGATGATGTTTAATAAATATTAGTTCATTTTTGTCTAAATTTATTCTGTATTTTATTTTATTTTATTTTTTTCCCGTAAAATTAGTACGATAACACATATTTCTAATTTGTTACCGATTTATGTTTTGTCCAATGGTTACATGGTCAGGTTCAAATCCTCTTCACTGAAATTCTAAAAGGCCATAAAATTACACAGGTTGGCCTTTAGAAGAGGAAGTCTAGAAGCAATTTCTTTTAGACAATACTTAGGTTCTCACTAGAGGATTTACAACATACTCATCGCTGATGTGGACCAATAATCAAACCACTATATCTGATTTAGTAAGTGAATATCTATTGATCTCTTTGATTTGGTAATTAAAAATCACATATTAATTTATTATTAGTCCAGTGAGTATGTTAAGTATTTTCTATTTCTTTTTCCTTCTTTTAGGTAAATTATAAGTCACTCACTGATAAAATCTTTTTTATAATTTGAGATTTCATACAAATCTAAATTAACTTTTAATATAAAACTTGCTTACATACAAAATTTCGTCTTTCAATATTCAAATTTGAAAGTGATTCGTTATACCCTTCGGCCTTATGCTTGTACTTTTTTCTCTTATAAAAGGAAAAAAAATAAAAAAATCCATGAAAATAAATGATTTCATATATAACTCTCATCAATTAAATAAGTCTAAGATAGGTGAAAATTTGGCGTGGTCCACGTGATTAGAGTAAATTTGTTCACCTATGTTAGAATCATGGTTTTGTATATATTTATGAAAAGAAATAAATTTAACATTTTGTGTAAGGCTAAAAATTATTTTATAAATAGAACTCAAATTATTGTATTAGATATTTCAAAATATAAACATTTTATTTCAAATTACTCAATCGCATTTACCCATTTCTTTCCTCCCTTTTTTTTTTTGGAGGAGGATAATATAGGTCTTTTTGCCAATGACGGTATATTAACCTCATCAATTACGTTATTTCTCTCTTGTTCTTTTTTGTTATTTTTTATTCTTCTATTTTCAATATATATATATCCGATTCAACTCCTGCATATGCAGACGAATATAAATAATTGCCGAATTTAACAAATTAATTAAAGAAAATGATAAATAAAAATATACCTCATTTTCATTTGATTCCAACTTGAAATAAATGGGTCAAACTAATCAAAGCCCACCAAAAGGCCCAATCCCTCTTATACACTAACCTCTCTAACGCTGCTCTCTCGATCTCGATAATTCCTCTCTAAAGTTGTCTCTGATGATGATGAAGTTTCTGCAATCGTGTACAACTTGTTCATGGTGTAATTATAGTGGCATTTCTAGGGTTTTTTGGTACTCTACCCAGACCCTGATCTCCTCAGCTTCAAATGTGACTGTTCTGAATAGTAAATTACGAGCAGCCAACCCATGGGTTTCGATTGTTCCGATTGTAGATGAATGGGTCAGAGTTGAGGGAAAGGTGAATCTAGAAGAAGTTCAAAAGATGATCAAGCAACTCAGAAAATACAGACGTTTTACGCAGGCTCTCGAGGTACTCTCTTTCTCTCTCTACTAAGGAGTAATTAGTTGCACCGTTTTTGTTGATTGCAGAAATTATAATTAATTGGGGACTTTAAGATATCAATGTTTAGGTCTTGTTGTTCCATATCATTGATTCGCGACTATTGACACTTGAAATAAAGTAATCAACCCGCATATTCATGTGGGTTCCCTATGATGTTATTTCATTATTTTCTATTGGTTATTTGTGCTTCACAATGTTTATTCGGCAAAGTATTTCACTTTAAAATTTATTTCTTTTTTCTAATGCTTTGTGTGCAGACATAAACACCTATTCCTTGTGTTCCCAAAAGGAACTTTTTTTTTGGGGGACAATGGAGTACTTGCTAATATATTTCTTACTCCCCTTGAAATTCCCTTATGCTATGTTTGGAGAGCTGAATCAGTATCTTGGATTTGAGACTAAATTTTCTCCAATCCCAAAATAAGGCACCAATTCGGTGCCGCCAAACATAGCATTAGCCTTTTATAGTTTTCCCCTTTTTGTCTTCATTTCTTTTAATGTTTGTTGCTGTCGAATAATTAAATTGCCCCCCTTTATTGTTTATGTTTTTTTGCGTGCACTTGTTTGGGGATGAGAAATTGAGAACTGATTTGTTGGATGTAGCTTCTGCTTCCTTTTTTTTTAATTATTATTTTAACATTTTTTCTTCACTATGAAATCAATTCTGGTTGGAAAGGCAACCTTTTTATATGAGTTTCTAAATGAGTTATATTCACCTTAATCAAATTGAAGATGGTTGGAGAAGCAAAAGTATATAGGTCTGCTATGTCAAAAGATATGCCATCTTGAAAGAACAAAAGAATACAATGAAAAAAATGTAATTGTTTTGAATAGTTTCATATAATTTGTCAATGACTTTATTTATTTCTTTGTTGTTTTACTCCCACCAGATTCTCTTATAAGTGTATTTAGCAGATGTTGTTATGCCATCTAAATTTATTGTACAGGAATTGTATTTCTCATTGTTTTATTGTTATTGTTATTGTTTCAGCTATCAGAATGGATGAACGGAAGATACCTTGACCTGTTACCGGGAGATGTCACATCTAAAGGGACGAGCAACAAAAGATACCCTGACTTGTTTCCTGGAAATGTTGCAGTTCAGTTGGATTTGATATCGAAGGTTCATGGAGTAGAACAAGCAGAAAAGTACTTTAGTACAATTCCAGACACTTTGAGAGGCTTCCAGGTTTATGGTGCTCTTTTAAACTGCTATGCCTATGCAAAATCCTTAGAGAAAGCAGAGGCCATTATGCAGAAGATGAAGGAGCTGGGTTTTGCTACAACACTTGCTTACAATGTTATTCTGAAACTCTATTCTCAGATGGGAGAGCACATGAAACTAGACCCCCTAATGCAAGAGATGGAAGAGAAGGGAATTACTTGTGATAAATATACCTTCACTGTCCGTTTAAATGCGTATGCAACAGCTACAGACATAAAGGGAATGGAGAGGCTTTTGTTGAAGATGGAAGCTGATCCTCTTCTCACCATGGAATGGAATGCATACGTTGTGGCAGCGAATGGGTATTTGAAAGCTAACTTAGTAGAGAATGCTTTGGCAATGCTGAAAAAATCAGAGCATCTCATCAAGGTTGAGACAAGAAGGTTTGCGTATGAAATTCTACTCACGCAGTATGGTCGTATGGGGAAAAAAGGTGAGGTGTATCGTATATGGAATTTGTACAAGAAAACCCATCGATTTTTCAATTCGAGCTACCTATGTATGATAAGCACACTAGTGAATTTGGATGACCTTGATGGTGCAGAGAGGATATTCGAGGACTGGGAAAAGGGGAACAAATATTTCGACTTTCGGGCACCAAACTTGCTTATCACTGCTTATTGCAGAAAGGATCTTCTGGTAAAGGCTGAATCACTTGTGGATAGGCTTATAGAAAGTGGGAAGCAACCCAATGCGAACACATGGGATCATTTGGCAGCTGGATATCATAAGTTGAGTCAGATGGAAAAGGCAGTGGAGACAATGAAGAAGGCAATCTCAGCAAGTCATTCAAGGTCGAGGTTGAACTATTCCACTTTGGCTGCATGTGTGGGATACTTGAAAGGGAAGGGAGATGCGGAAGAAGTGGACGAGCTTATTAGTTTACTAAAGGAAAAGGGTCGGTTTTCAACAGAAATGTGCAATAGGTTAGATAATTATAATGCACAGAATGGAAATTCAGAATGCAAACTACATGATCAGATGGGAGAGGGTGATCAGAATGTTGAGGGAGAAATGCTTGGAGTCATGGAGTTCAAGTAGGAGGATATCAGGTGATTATCACGTATCATATGAACCTCTGATACGTGACACTGTACAGCTTTTTTCTAGTTTCTTCAATGAATTGGTTTCTTTTAGCTTGAGACTAAGCCCCGTTTGGCATGCGTTTTGTTTATGTTTCTTTTGTTTTTGGGCGGTTATAGTGTCGATTTTGGCAACAAAAGTATATTTAGTGCGACCTTGTTTTATTTTACACAATGTTAAAACACTTTGTGAACAGTCGCCCAAAATCAAAATACCAAAAAGTTATTTTTCTTATTTTGATAACTGTTCAACGTCCAAAACCATAACACCAAAACCATAATAATAGCGCAAAACTCTTACAGCAAAACATCATTTCTAATTTTTTTTCAAAAAGCAAAAATATTATTTTTGTTCTAGTCAAAAGTAAGATGCCTAAAATAAAGTGTCAAATAGGTTCTAAGAGTTCATTTGATTAGTGTAAAAAAAAAAAAAAAAAAAAAAACCTATTGAATCATCCATTTGTGTGGAACACGCATTTGTGAAACATGGCCTCTTATCTCACGCATCAAACGATTATAAAAGGAAAAGTGAAGGAAATAAAACAAATAAAGCAAAGCATAAAAAGGCTCGAATGGCTTGCATGTTTCTTGGCTTTTTCACTCAAATTTGGTTATTACAAAGCTAAACACGAGAATTCGTACTAATATTCAATTGTTTGTCAAGTTGGAAACGTAAACTATTATTAACTCCTCAAATACAAACTTTATGGCTTTATCTTGGCTTATTCACTGGAATTAGGATCATTTACTTTCCTTTTAATTTTTCAATTATCTCGATGATTAAAAGTGAGATTATTATGTTCACGATAAGAGAGTAGTACAGTAGTTGTTTTCTGGAGTTATACAAGACAACAAACATGTTGATAAAACATGTTTTTTACTTTATTCACGTGAGTGCGAGGAATAATCAGTAGTATTATTAGGTCCAATGATAATGTCAGTGAAGAAAATTAAAAGTGAACTAAAAAAAGAAAGGAAAATTGGGAAGTAGGACTGTTGGAGTGAGGTGATGTGATATTTTAGGTATGAAACTTGTAGGAGTAGCACTAAATTTGAGGTTTGGTTTGTGGAAGAAATAAATTGAAAGCCACTTGGCGTTGATTGTTTGTTGTTTGTTCACCTAAGAACCCACTAATTCCCAACACACGCACTCACGAACCTACTGCACATAAATTCCACCATAATACATATATTTGAGACAAACATAGCCATGTTGAACTTTGATATCATCATTTATAGAGAAAAAGAGAGAGCACTATAATCTACCGTGTCCAACTTTTATTAATTCATTTGTAACCAAATCTTTCGGGAGCCTAGATGAAAAGGTTGGTGTACTTTCACCAACTAGTCCAAAGTAGATTTATAGGCACTTTTAATTTTTGGATTGTATGGAATATAGAAAGGGGTGTCACTAGCATGGTTAACTTTTGTTTCATTAATTAAATGTTTTGGTTGTTCCACTTAACAAAAATATATTAAAACAATTAATTAAAGGTAAATGCTACATTGCTAGCATATCCATAACTTGAGGAAGCCAACAGCCAGTAACCCCTTTTAGATTTTGTCTTGGCTGCCTTAATTGGGACCCGTATATATATATATATGTGCGCGCGCGCGCGCTTAATTGGGTTGTTGGATCATGACTTTTCGAAGAAAAAACACTTCTTTTTTCTATATGTTTGGTCACTTACCCTGCAAGATGTGCATTTAGTCTTTTACTTTGTGACTTTGTTGTGTTAAGATCGAGACCTAAATCATATGAAGTGTTTTTAACAAAACACCATCTTTCTTAGCAAAATTTCAAAAAGAAAGGTTTTCCAGGCTGGTTGCAAAAGATAAACCAATCACAGCTTATGTCATATTTCTAATCATAACAATTCTATGTTTATAAACCATATATATTTTTATGTAACTCTACTAATTAATAATACATATATTTGATTTGGTGGAATTTTGGCTCAAATCCATTAATATATATATATATATATATATATATATACCCATTTGATACAAAAATATGTATAGTACAAGCAAACGTATATATACTATTAAAAACAAGGTGCAAATTTATAAAGCATATCTACTATATTTCCAATATCATCTACAGTAATTGATTAAACACTTACATACTATCATGATTTTAATTTAAATACAATATTTTTGGGATAGAGTATGTATGTATATATTTAAAGAAAGACGAAACGCACTTTGCTAAAAAAATAAAGGCCAAACACAAATGGACGTGTGGGTGTTCTTCTAGATGGACCTAAGGCCGCCACTGCCACCGTGACCATTACCACCACCAACACCAAACTAATCTAATAGAAGTAAGGGACACGCAAATGAGCTGAAAGAAGAGACTTGGGAGTGTGACTCAAAATAAATGTGTTTTATTTTATTTTTTAAGCAAATACACATATTTTTTTTCACGGGATTCGAATTCCTCCCCTTCCTTATTCTTTGAAGATGGAGAGATTATACCATTGGGTTATTTGATTCCACGATAAAATAAAAAAATAAAAATAAACGTTGGTGGGCTTATATTTGGACTGGTCTCTTCTAGATGCTCCACCTTATATTCAACCCTTTTATCACTCGCGTTGAAATCCAGTCTTTTCAACCCATGCTCCATCATGTCATAATTCACAAAAACTTGTTCATATCTGGATGGGGATCCACCGTGAATATATCTTATGGTGTGTGTACCCACACCTCCAATCATACAAAACTCTCTCATTTTCATTAGGGGTACCCATAGATGGGGATTGGGGTTCTGTAGTGAACGTGATCATGACCACGACCACCATCTACTTGCCAATATCATCTCTATCCCTTACATTTAACAAATTTACTTTTCTTTTTAATACGCGTGATATGTAGAAAATCATTGGATGAAAAATAGAGTAACATATTAATAAATGGATTTGCCCATTTATTCAAAATTTAAAAATTTAAATTGTTAGGTAATGTTATAGAACCACTCATTTATATTTCTTTTTATTTGTAAAGTCCTCATTATAATTGGGTTATGCTGCCTATTCAGGTAGCACACTTGGACGCCTTCTAGGTTGCCTATTCGGATAGCACACTTGGACGCCTTCCAGATCAGGCGTTTCACGTAATACCAAATGAAGAATTAAGTCTGACTCTGATACCAATTATAACGGATAAACATTTATCTATTTATTAAAAAATTTAATTATTATATATTGTTACATACTTACCCATTTATACCCTCTTCACTTTCTATCATAATATAAATACCCCTTATAACAACTTTTATGATAAGGGGGGATTATATAACACCACCAGAGCAAAAGATTCGACCTTCGAGCTCAAAATTTGACAGAATCCTTGGTCTCATCATGTCTATACACCCTTTCAATCTTTGGTTGAAAACAAATCTAAAGAATATGATTTCATCCAGGACTCGGCAACTTAAATTTAAAATTTTAAAAATAAAATTAATTAAAATTTTGATCTGAATTTTCTTCCATCCCGAATCAAAAGCCAAATACAACATATGAGTAGTAACGGAAGGAAAAACCGAAATTTTAAGACAAGCACCATTCACATGATGACAACAGAATTTAAAACTAAATGACCGTATATTAGCAAAAGATACTCAAAAACTCTGATCTATTACATCTGGCCAACCCGTGTACATGGGTCATATTTTGTTTCTACTAACAATTTTTACAAGTATACAATGGGTAAGAAGAAGGAGAGAGATGGAAGTGCCTAGAACAAGAGAAAGCACAAAACCAAGCAACAAAAGAGGAAGAAACACACTCTGCTGAGCGATTTGTCCGCCTGCATTACTTGCCTTCTCATTCTAGGACTAGTGGTCCCTGCTAAATGATACGAGTTTGGATAAATATATAAAGCCGGTTCAGAGTTCCCAAAAAGCCTCTTATAAACCATTTCTCCGAACATGCCCATTGTGGGATGGGACATATTTGTCATTGTCGTGTAATCAAGGTCGAGCATGGGTGGTGGTGAAGCACGGCGGCCACCGCGAGGTTGCTGAGCTGGTTGGGAACTACTGGTGCTCATTGTCTGAACCCCCCCACAGTTGAAACCAGAAGGCCTCCGAGGTATCACTATACCAAGCTGGGGGGCTTTGTCTTCAGAGGAATTTGTGGTTCTGCCACGACCGTATAGTGGCACCACGGTTTTTTCGGAAACTTCAGCTTTGCATACAGGGCATTGTGGTGGTTGTTGCTCGTGGTTTTCATCTGACACACTCTGGAAATGAATCCATTTGTAAATGCAGGGCCAGCAATAGAGGTGCCCACACAGTGTGATCACTGGGTCTTGCACGGATTCTAAACAGATATTGCAGTCAAAACCACCGGACTGACTATTTTCAGACTCATCCACCACGGATGACCCAGATTTCCACTTCTCTAAGGAAGCCACATCTTTCACGTCAGAGTTGCTTCTTGACACAGCCTCTTGAAAGCACATTTCCATGGCCATTTTATCTGCTTTGTGAAGTCCGGTTCTTAGTTGCCGATGTCTTTCAAAAAAAAAGCTGTGACAGAAAAAAAGAGGAAAAAGGTTCAGATTTTGAACTCTTGAACACGCACAAAATTATTGGTAACCAAAACTCAATTAAAGTTAACAAGAAGAAGCTGAAGGTATTTCATGTTGTAGATTATTCAATTAACGATCTGTGTCCGTTTCACATGTCTGATTAATTTAAAAAGGGGCAAGACTAGAAGCAGATGTACTGATCAAGATTAGATTAATTAATCATTTAAAAGGTCTCAATTCCTTGTTCCAACAAAATTGAAAACACCTTAATTAATTAAGGAACAAGTTGCGTACAAGTAATAAGTAATAGACAGGGGCCCCAAAAAAAAACTATGTTAAAACAAATTAGAATTTTAGTTGATAATCAAGGACCTTTATCTACCTTATGAAGATGGGATCTTTGGTAGTTGAAAATTAGGTTAAACATAAATTCTGAAACACAAGCATCCAACCAAATTCTATTAAAACTTCACCATAACCTTTATCTGATCAACTCCCCTCATCCAGAAATCACATCATGCTGGCATTTAATTGTTAATGCATTAATTGAAAAAATCATCAAAGATTCTTCTAGAACATATACCTATGTTAGGTGCCCTCAAGACCACACGCTAATTTATGTCACAACAACACTAGATTGAAGACAAAAAGAAATCAACTTTTAAAAGGAGTATGTATTTTTATGAGTTGTTCTAGTTATGTCCATTAATAAAAGGATCAGGAGATATATTATTTCAATGAAGCCCTGAATATAATTCAGAAAATTTTCCGGGAAAAAATAATAATTCAGAGAAGTAGATCTGGAAAATAAAGAAAGGGTAATTTTTTTGGACGGAAAGTTAAAACCTCGACTTCATCAACCCAGAAAAATTAAAGACTTCGCAAAGACAAAAGAGGTAGCTATAACCATCAACAGTGTTGAAACAATAGATAATTTTTTGTTAATTTGGAAACTATTCATCAGAAAACAGCGAAGTTATCTGAGGCTCAAGAGATATAAAGCAGAGAACACTTCACAACGCAAGATTTACACTTTTTTTTCACTAAAAATGGGAAACTTTCTCTAGCAATCAAAGGAAACATACATAGACATACATCTACAGAGAGAAATAGTAAGGCATGTGGAAAGAGAAAATACAAACCTCGGAATTGGAAGACTGAAGGGAGGCTTTTGATAAATAAACTCTCCGCTTGCGTTGATTGAAGCTTCAACGGCGAATCTACTGGGCGTCTGAAGGAGGCGGAATGGAAATGATAACTGCTGGTTTTAGAGAGAGAGAGAGAGAATGGGAGTAATAGGTGAAGAGGGGGACGGAGGTTGCGTTGTAATAATGAAAGACACGAGTGAGGTGACCGTCTACGTTTAATACCCATATATATAGATATAGACATACATATGTATAGACTTCTAGTTGTCAAAAAAAAAAAAAAAAAAAAATGTATAGACTTCTAGAATCTAGACACTGCGATACCATCCCAGTTGACGTGGCACCTACTCGGTGCGCAGTGCGCGCCATTCACGCGACTCTATCTCTTCAACTTTTTTTTTTTCTTATTTTTTTATTTAGTTGGCTGTCCCATTCCCAGTTTGTTATAGAATATATATATATATGTAGTATATATAATATGGTATATATAACCAGTGCTGGTAAATGGCTTTCGCTAGATCCGTGTGGGTAGTCCACGGATTTGTTTTTTTAATCTGAACAGTGTTTAGGCCAACGAATAATACCATAAAACAAAAATGCCTATTAGTTTTTTTTTTTTTCTTTTGCATTAATTAATTTTTTTTCAATTTAAAAAGTTTTTTTCTTCGTAAACCTACCCGGTGGGGTTGGGAATTGAGAGTGAGCTCATTTAAATTGGGGTGTTGGCCATCACCACCAAATTGACAAGACATCTCCACATAATCGCATTACATATTACTCCTTGAGAACTCAATTTCTCATATCCTCAATTCAACATTCTTGCTCCCCGTTGCTCTTGAAATTCCAGCTTGGACCATTGCATCCTTAACTTATAATATAATGAAATATTCTTGTCTTAAAAAAAAATAAAAAATAAGTATCTCACTAAGGATTTCAAATTAGTAATTTTGACTCACAAAAATTGTGAATCAAAATTTTTGAAGTAGACAATTAGTATGAGACGAAAATAATATGATGTATGAAATATACACAATAAAATTATTAATGATATTAATATTAAAGTCAATTTTTACTTACATAAATGAGTAAATGAGTTATAATTGTTATAATTGTTCCACTTTTGTATCAGTATCATAATTATTTATTGAATCGCATTACTCTTTATTTTATTAAATTTTGAATGAGCTCGCAATAAATTGTATAGAGATAAGTCGATAATGCAATATCCCCTTTCATTTATGGCACATTGTTTCACAAAGTACCAAGTAGGGCTCGTGGATACCCAAGCTTGTTATTGGGGTGGTGGCACTAAGTAAAACAGCACACAGTACCTCTTCCCCCTGTTTTCATGGTTGTAAAATCTAATCATAAAATTGACAATTTACCTTGAATTCCAAATTGCCAATAATGGACTTGGTCTTAAACCAAAAACGGGTTCAAACAATAACAACCACAAACACACATTATTTAATAATACTAAGGGCTTCCAAATCAGTTGGCATAAGAATTTGCTGTTTTAAGCCGTTGGAAAATTATCTTTGACTGTTGCCCAAATTCAAGATGCACATTGTTTGAATTTAAACGGACAGATTCACACATTATTGACATTTCATTTAATTTCTTAGTTTTTTTGTTTTAGTACTACTTATATGTTTTGCCGTGGTTTCGGGTGTATTTTTCCAACTTCTAGTTGTTTCAGTTGGCCTTAATTTTCTTTTCAAAGTCACAATTTTGTTTTCTAAATTATCAAGAAATTCAAACCGACTCTTATTTTATTCAATCCTAATTTTTGTTGTGTTTTTTCAATATTCTGATCAAGCGTCATTATCACTTTTGCTATCTTAAGAAGGGAAACACGGTATATAACTTGTTAGTTATGGCAAAGCAAAATATAAATTGTGATGAGAGGACAAAAATCTTAGAAGAAAAAAACAAAACGATGTTTGGCAAAACTTTAAAAAAAAAAAAAAAGTAAAGATAGAAAACTTCTAGTGTAAAATGATTAATATTGAAATTTTCAAGTAGCTGAATCATTAGAAGTGAAAATATAAGAGTAAATTTATGAATTTTGATCAAATTTCCAAACCATATTTCACATAACGTTCCTCAACTTACAAACCGTTTATCAAGTTTAGTAAATAAAGAAATTGAATGACTAAAAATCTCAGTATAAGCACTTGGTTGAATTATCCCTCACCAAAATTCTATTCGTAAAATTATTTATGGAGTATAACATTAAAAGAAAAAGATTCATATTCGGTGAAATATTAATTTCAATACATCAATTTAATGCATCAAAAAACAATTATAATGCTATCTCATCTTTGTACAAAAAAGTTAGGAAAAAAATATATTTTGAATCATGTATTTTTGCAGTGACTTTTCAACAAGCAACAAGTGAAATCAATTACAATAGGAGGAGTAAAAATCATGAATTGATTTTTGGTGAGGCAAGTTGCTTTGTGCTTTTGCTTTGACCCCGAAATAAAAATAATGTTTTTATTTTTATGGTGTAGTCAATATTATTTAGAAGTTTGTTTGGTAACGTAAAATTGTTACAAGATTTGTAGAAGCAAAAACAAGAAAGCATGTTTGGTAAAAAGTGTTACAAGTTTGAAATTTTGAATGGTTAGTTAAAAATGTTATTTTAGATTTTTTATTTTTTTGCTATAGTGCGGTAACAAATAAAAGCATTATTTTGATACTTTTGATTTTGGCCTCAATTTTAAAAACGTTTCGATACTATTTAAAAATATAACAAATATTATCAAACATATTTTCTTCTTTTGCTTTGCTATAATATACCGGTAGAAACAAAAAAAACACAAAGTAAAAGCACTAGCCAACAAGTTGTTAGGGTCTGTTTGGCATAACTTTTACTTCTACTTTTACATCAAAGAAAAAGAGAAGTAGAAGCCATTAATTCTATTTGGCTTGTGTGTTAGTGTTTGGGAACTGCATTGTAGAAGAGCTTTTAATACTGTAAGAGTTTTTTTTATCTATTTGGCAAAAAGTTTGCTAAAACTTCTCTACTACTACTATAACTATTTTGCCCTTCATTCAATTTTATCAAATTTATTAACAAGCCATATATATATAATAATAATAATAAATAAAAAGATTGCAAAATTTTAAGAAATTTAGTAACTGTGTCTCAATATGCCATTAAAAAATCAATCAAATGAGCATTTTTACCATGTAAACCAAGAAAACAAGTCCAAAACAATGGTCTAAATAACAAAATTAAGTTATTTTTTACCATGTAAACTATTTTTACCAAGTTATTTTATTCACATAATGCCCATAAAATGATCTAAATAAAAAAATTAATTCTACTCTAAAGAAATTATTCCTACAGTCAATTATTTAATTATTTTCTTTCCTTGTTTTTTTTCAACATAATATATATATTTAACTTATTTTGTAATTGTTTTCTTCTATAGTGTTTTGATAAATTAAAAAAAGAAGGAAACTAAAAACAATGCTTTACTTAACCCAAAAAAAACAAAAAACAACCAAAAAACAACGCTTTCCATATAAGTTCACATTTTCCCAATTCAATTTTGAGGTGAAAAAAAAATTAAAGGAGGAATTTTATTTTCTTTATTTTGTTGGCAATGATCATCCATCTTTTATTATGCCTTAGTCTGGAGACTTTTTTCATAACCAACATTAAGTAAATCATATAATATATATACACATATTATATATATACACATATATTATCTGGATATACAATCACAGCTTCACAAGGAAAACTGAGACAAAATAAAATTGAAGAAAAAAAGTATATGATGGATGATAATGAATTTGAGAATAGGCATAAAAAATAAAAAATAAAAAAAAATAAAAAAGATTGTAACAGGCGCGCGCACACATATATATTGTTCTCATCCTTTAATGGCTTACTTAGGAGTCTGCAATTTAATAATATATTGGAGCTTGAACAACAAAAAAGAAAAGCCAAACAAGAATCTTCTTCTAGGTTTTCCTCTGGTTGAATGCTCTATTAGATCAATTTTTTGAGTATGAAGGGAATATGCAATGATATAAATATTTTTCTTTTTGAAAGATGAGATGCGAGATTGTAGAGGTGAGATCTGTAAATTAGAGTTTGGGAAGAAAAATAAAGGGACTTTTATAGGGATATGTTTTGAATTATATTTTTTTGTTAGGTAATAAAAAAGATACGCTTATTATTTAAAAAGTTTTATTAAAATATCAAAACTCTTTCGGTGTTGTTTTAAAAGAACGATTTGAAGAAACTAGGGTCCCAACTATTTCAAAATGCTCTTTCAAAGGCTTAAAACACTTCCAAAAATTTTATCAAACATCGTTCAAAATAACTTTTTAATTTAAAAAATTAAAAATAACATTTAAAAAGCCAATCTAAACGGCTTAGTATTTGATTGGAAGCTTCCAAGTGGAAGGCTCTCAGAAAAGGCCAGGAGAGAGCCAACAGATGGTAGAAATAGAAGAAGGCCCATTATTATAAATAGCCTAGCCCTTCTAGAAGAGAAGCGGGAAAAGATTGACGTGACGTCTGAGGTGGGGTGAGTTATGATTTTTTTTGAATTTTCTGCTGCTTGACGTGGCAAAATCAAACCGTGCAATGCAAGTGGTCCATTGTCCCTCACACGTTTATTGGAATGACTACCACTTTCTTGCTAACAGTTGGTCGGTTCAGTTACGTATATTGCCCCTTCTAGAATCGTCTTTAAATAATGGTAGAAAATCTCTCATTCCTTCTAGAATTTACCACCTTCATGGTTCCTTCTTCTGAATTTTGGTTTTTTTGACCACTTTCTTCGGATGCACCGAGTTTTAAGCTATTTCACGTGAAACTAAATCTGAATTTTTATTTTAATGTTATGATTTCTATGGAGACTTGGAGTTGAATTAGGTTCAATATTCATGACTCGATTTCATTTATATATTTTAAGCCATATATTTACATGAAGTAAGGAAAATACTTTTTAGGCCTATTACTAGTAATAAATATAAATTTTTTGACACTTCAACCTACATTTCATTACTTTATAAAGTAAATATACTTAATTTGAATTAGAGAATAAAATTCAATCAATTAAAAAATTGTTCAGACTCATACCTCTTGAACCCACGAAGCTTTCATAGAAGATTCATTTTATTTTACCTTTTTCATTTTTATCTGGCCTGAGTTTTAGTTTGGATTTAAAATTTAAAGTGAAT